GGCTAGTTGTGCCACAGAAAGACTGAAAAAAATCAAAGAAGAAATTTAGGCTTGGGAAAGGAAATGTGACAAGGAAAAATATATTACTGGTCCCATCCCCAAAGACTTGATATTTCAGAAAAGATTTGGTTCAAATTATGGACTGAGAAACTACAACTTAGAAATTTTAAAAATAGTAGGAATAATTTTATCAGTGTACCTTCCTTCATTCTAGAAAATACTATTAATTTTAATCAGCAAACAAAACATTTTCTGAGTTAACTGAACCTCTACACACAGAAGTTATTATAATTCACTATTATCTTAGGATCTAAAAAAATTGCTTAATCTAAATGGGACGTATTTGTCTGTTCACAATTTACCTGGAGGTTTCCACTTCTGAGGTTCTCCAACCTAGTCATACTTCAGAATTCAGGGACATTTGGTCATTTTTAAGTTTTAGAATTAAAAAACATAACAAATAGAAAGGATTTCTGTGATATTATATTTCCTGTGGAACCCACTCAACATGATTCAACATCTCAGGGCATTGATTTAGCTTATTAGCAAGAAAGGAGCAATTATCCTACCAATTGCCTATCTTCAGATGCTAGATAATGAAACGAGGAGACAATACAGGAAGCACTCTTCCCCTCCCCTGCTACTGTGCCTTCTCTCCTCCCCTAAATAACCACACTGTGCAAAAGACCTTCCATCCCTTTATCTCCCCTCAAATGAGACTTATACCTGGGGTCAGCAAACATTTTCTGTAACGAGCCCAACTGTAAGTATTTTTGGCTTTGAGGGTCATTCAGTCTCTGTCATAACTACTCAACTCTGCCACTATAGCATGAAAACAGACATAGACAGACAATATATAAATGAATGGGCATGACTGTGTTCCAATAAAACTTTATTTACCTAAACTGTCAGTGGGTCATTTGATTTGAGGGCAATAGTTTGCCAACTTGTGCTCTATTCTAAGCTTTCTTCTATTTAGTCTTTCCTGGGTGCTCTGATGGACTGCAATGGCTTTAGATCCCATTTATGAGCCAACGACACAATTTTTATTCATAAGGCCTGATTTCTCAGCTCCAAACTCCACCTGCTATTGACAACCCCACATGTGTATCCCACAGGCTCAATGTGCTCTAAAACTAACTCAAGATCTTCGTTTGCAAATGTATTTCTTATCTCAGTTATGACATTACCATCCATGAATTTGTCCTTGCCAAGAATCTAGGACTTATGCTTTATTCATCCCTCTCCCACCTCTTCCACATCTTATAAAATCATCTCGAAATACCACTCAAATCAGCCTACTTTATTCCATCCCTTCTGCCACTATCCTTATCCATGCCTTCATCTCTCTCTTAATTGTTTCTCTGCAACCACTCTGGCTCACCTCCAAACTATTCTCTACACAACAGCCAAAATGGGTTTTTAAAAATGCAAGCCTAATCATATCACTCCCAGGCTTAAACCTCTTCAATGTCTTCCCACTGTCCATAGGATAAAATCCAGAGTCTTGAATCCAGCCCACAAGGCATGATCTGGGCCCCTGCCTGTGATCCTGACCTCATTTTTACTACCCTTTTCCTCTTAGGCAACAGTCCCTCTGGCCCTCTTTCAGTTTCTCAAACACATCAAGTTCTTAATTTTGAATATACTACTCTGCTTGGAATGTTCTCTCTTGCTATGCCATCTAAGGCCTCCCACTTTTCACTGAGCCAACTCCTTATTTATCCTAAATGAAAGTCAGAAACCTATCAAGCAAAAAATTGATAGTTTTGACTACCAAAAAGTTTCAATGCTTATACAGTAAAAATTAAAATATAATAAATAGGTTAAAGGACAGAAAAAAAATGGGAAAATATTTGTAACAGACGTAAGATACAGAGAACTAATTCCTAAATATAAAAAGAGCTCAGGGCTTCCCTGGTGGTGCAGTTGTTGAGAGTCCGTCTGCCGATGCAGGGGAGACATGGGTTCGTGCCCCAGTCCAGGAAGATCCCACATGCCGCGGAGCGGCTGGGCCCATGAGCCACGGTTGCTGAGCCTGCGCGTCCGGAGCCTCTGCTCCGCAACGGGAGAGGCCACAACAGTGAGGGGCCCGCGTATTGCAAAAAAAAAAAAAGAGCTCATACATCAATACAGAAAAACAACAACAAACAGCTCTCAGTAGCAAAACAGGCCAAAGACATGAACAGGTGACTCACAAAAGAACAACTACTGCAGCCAGTTGACATACTGCATGTGTTCACTAGTCCTAGTAATCAAATACACAAATCAAAACAACAATTAGTTGTAATTTTTCATTCATGGAATTGGCAAACCTCTAACAGATGGAGGAGACACATCCATTCACCATTTCAAGGTCCAAACCTTAAAATAACTGTTGCCTTGACACTATCAGCATTCTCATTATCAGAATAAACTGACATCATCTAGACCGGGAAAGTTGTTATTGTTTTGTCTAATCTATAAGGTGTTGCTGCCCTGAAATAAACACATTGGAAAATAACAAGTGTCATATAGATTATATTTATGCATACATTTTCCCAAATCGTCTAATTGAATCATTCCTTACATTGGAATACCCTGAGCAGATACCAGTTTCTCCTTCCCAGTATGTGTCTTCTGAGGCAGACAAAAGTGACTCAAAAAGGCAGCCTTAGAAAAGAAACTCTGCCCTTGCTTACGCCAATTAAATTGCTCACCTTTGTTTTATTTCTACGCTTTTTACAGCTTTAATGGCACTCAATACATTATACAAATTATCTAAAAGAAAAGTGAAGCAATGTATTTTAAGGTATCAGAGCTTTTAGGAAGGAAATAGTATCAGAAATCTTTCTTTAGACAAATGTTTATTGGTGGTATATCAAATAAAAGAAACCTGTTGTACCTCTTTTTCTACTTTAGATTTGTTTTAATTTTATAAACTTAAATATATAATATAAATGCATATGTATAATTCATAATATATAATTGGGAGATGTTCTCTTCCATCAAGTGTATTTAAACCTATAGTCTAAGAACTCTTTCTGAATGGTGGTATGATTCACTCAATTCAGCTGTAATACTGGACTACAGCTACTAAGAAATCTCCACAATCAAAAATTGTTTTATAATAACAATGTTTTCAGTGGGGAAAATGAATTTGGGACAGGAGATTTTCTGACTCAAAATTGCAAAATTATTTTCCTGTACAATTTCAACAACAACAAAAGTTTTATATCTATAAGCGTGTAAAACCTAACATCACTAAGCAAATTCAGCCTTTAAAGATATCTGACTTTTTCCTGAAGAATATTCCCCATTAATATTTTTAATTTTTTGAACATATATTCTGGAATGAGCATAAGAATTTTTATGGAGGAATACAAGCAAATGTTAACAGTAGTTCTATAGGAGGAGGGGAATGAGCACTTACTTTTACTTGGCATGTTTCTGTTTTGTCTGAATTTCTTTACTACGTATATGCTCAAACAGGAATTATCGAGATACCATTTCTGTTTTCTCTTCATAAATTTATTTTTTGAAAGTTATAAAAGAAGCAAGAAATAAAGAGCTGATATTATCTTGTCAATCACCACAAATATTTATGATTAATTAACACATTCTTATAACTGTTACTCAACCTTTGTTCTGATAAAGCAACCAAAAATAAAGCCATCTAAGCAAAGCAGCTCAGTAGCTAATAAAAGGAGCTAGACTGGTTCCCAACTTTGAAAGATTTATAACTGGTTATGATCTGCCTAAGACAGACCATTAATCATTAATTAATCATTAATTAACCATACTTATTCATTAATAGTTGTGCTTATAAAATTCACAGTATGAAAAGTCATACTGTGGCAGATACTACAATATCACTGAGAACTAATATTCCATATCCTTAACCACATGAATATAACCTCTAAATGCCTTCCAACATACTGTTTCCCCACTGGGAATGATTCTACCTTCTAACCATGGGAAGAAGGGAGTGTTATTCTTGTTATCTCAGCTTCTACTCCCCATCACCTTATGGAAGGACCCTTCCACTGAACTTGCTCATGTAAAGTCAGGACAACAGAAAGGTGACAGGATAGACTGGCAGAAAGAAAAGGTAAGAGGAGGAAAGTACAAGAGCTGTGATGGCAGGGTTACAGGGTGTGAGAAGAAGGTCAATGGCCAGGGGAGACCCACTCCAGAGCAGCCAGCGGCGAGTGAAGATGAGGACAGCTATTTAAATGACCATTTGGCAGGTGGACCAAGCTGTTTTAAATGGCACTGCAGAGAAACTGTGCAATGTTTCTCTTCAAATTATATATAAAGTAGATTGTTCAGATTATACATGATTTAGGAATCGGCCAACAAACCAAATTTGTAAATCCTTATGCAAACAGTACAAAGTGTAATTTTAAATTTCTGTAAAATGACTTTTCTCTACAAAAAACATAGAGACATATAAATGTAAGTATCCGCTTTATCTTAGAATTGCTGACATGAATCAAAAGTAAACAGTTAGGAAAAAAGATCATACCAAACATATTCTTGCTATGGCTTAGTGGCAATGAATTAAAGAGACTATCCCTAAAAAGAGGGTAAATATCAAGCAAAGGAGGTTGACTGTGTGCTAGACATTTTACATGTTTCCTTATTTCATGCTGACAACAACCCCGTAAGTTAGACATTCTTAGCCCCGTATTACTGATGCGAAAACCCATCGCATCACCCTGACGCCCCACAATCGGCCACTGAAGAGAGTTTCCAAATTCAATCAAGTCTGATGCCAAAGCCCTCACTTTGTCCCTTACCTCTCACCTCACCAAAAAGGCACACGTTAAGTCAAAGGTTTAGAAGCAGGCCAGGCTAATTCTTACCTAGAGACTGAGAAAGAATGAAAGAGTCTCAAGAGTTCAAATAGGAATGTAGTCCCTTTTCTTCTCCACATCTAAGGTACACAGTGCCACCTACTGGGGAAAGTGAGGCCACCATTCCCTACAAATAACGCTTTTGGTAAGTGAATTCTTTACCTGAGGCTGAAGCAAAGCAACCAGGGATGTGGGGCGACCAGATCGTGCTATAAATGACACTTTCATGGCCGCTAAAGGTGCACAGAGACTTTCCAACAGTTGGGTCCCACTACAAACAAATGAACAGATCAATTACTTAACAGAGGCAAATCCATTATGCTTTATATTACCATATATATGTATCTGTATACACACACAATATACATACATATCTCAAGGATTTCTTTAAAGTCTTTTTTTTTTTTTTTTTTTTTTTTGCGGTGTGCGGGCCTCTCACTGTTGTGGCCTCTCCCGTTGCGGAGCACAGGCTCCGACGCGCAGGCTCAGTGGCCATGGCTCACGGGCCCAGCCGCTCCGCGGCATGTGGGATCCTCCCAGACCGGGGCACGAACCAGTGTTCCCTGCATTGGCAAGCGGACACTCAACCACTGCGCCACCAGGGAAGCCCAAAAGTCTATTTTTATATAAAGCAAGATGATATTTAAGGGGCCAAAATAATCAACACTGAGCTAATTATCAGTTTATACCTAGAAGATTAGAAAATTTTAAATTCTAATAAATGCTTTAGTATATTTTTTTAAAAGAAAATTAACTGCCTAACTGAAAAGCAATAGAAGTATATTCCAGAAAAGAAAAAACTTCAGTGGAAGCTTTGAGGAAGGGAATATTTGGTTTTAAATACAGTAATGTGGACATACCAGTTTGATAGTTTGATCCCACGAGCCAGACACCACAAGCTGTTCACATCTGGTTTGACTCCAATCAACACTGTACACCTAAAAACATTTTAAAGTGTCATTTAGAATGCAAAAGAGCATCAAGTTCACTATTACATTTATCTGTTTGTAACAGTGACAGCCAGTTAGAACAACTAATTCACTTCGTTGAAACATCAAATAAAGTCCTGCAAATCTCAATATGGTGTCTGAGAAAGGGAAAGGTCATCTTGTCCGTTCCTCCAGCCTTACCCTTAACAGATAAGACTCCATTCTACTTTAGCAGGATCCTACAGAATATTTCCAAAACCTTCTTCACTAAAACAAATTATACATATTTTTAAACCTACCAACAAATCACTGTTTGCAGCACCCTGAAGAAATGTCAGAGCAGATTAGAAAGTTAGTCATCTAAAAAAGCTTGCCAGGTCAATGTTTATCAGAAAGCATTAAAATTCAATTAATATCCCTTTCTGGTCTTTCTTTGAAAAAGCTTATCGGAATGACGTGATACTTTCAGATCTCTTGGTAAACAGCTTTAGTTATCCAATGCTGCTCTCAGTAAACCACTTCAAATGAATTACATGAAAACTTATGGAAATACTTTTAATTCTGTTATTTGATACAACGGATTATATACAGATCACTACTGGAAGCTAAGTTCAACCAAATATGTGTATAATTAAACTTTACAAAAGTAGTCCTGCCATGGACCTGAGTATGCCATTAAATGTGATCAGCCAGCAGGTTATTTTGAATCTAAAAACTCTACCATATTTATGCAGAAAGCATGACTATCTGGGGTTTGTTGTGGCTTAAGTATGGATTCCCTGTTCTCTGCTGCCTAGTGCTATGCCTAGCCATGTTGGAACCTGAGTTTAAAACAAAAAATAATTAGTAATACCGATTATGTCCTTACTTAAAACTTTGATATTTTGTTCATCGTAGATTTTTCTTACATTAATTTTGATTTTTTAAATACTGCATTAAGAGATTATTTATCTTGACTACTGAGCTTTTGGGGCCCCCTTAAATTATGTACTTAAATTATGTACTAAGGTGAGTGTTTCACCACCCAGATCTGGCCCTGCTGCGGCCCATATTCTTGCACAAGAGAGAAAAGCAGCTGGAACACTAAAGAAATCATGATCCAGCAACAGAGAGTAGCTCATAAAGTATACAGAAAGGTCAGCAAAATCCAAAGTGCTGCTGCAGCCATCTGTCAGTTATGGATGGAAAAAGGCAGGCTCGGAAGCAATCAGGGAAGAGCTTGAGACCTAAAGAGGTTGATTTTACCCTCTAGGCCAGGGCTCAGCAAGTTTCTTCTGTAAAGGGCCATATAAATATTTTAGGCCTTAAATATTTATATAATAACTATATTAATATATTTATTATATTCATAATAAATATACTATGGGCCATTTGTCTCTGTCACAACTACTAAACTCAGCCTTGTAGAGCACAAAGTAGCCACAGATGATACTTAATAAACGGGCATGGCTGTGTTCCAATAAAACTTTACAAATCAGAGAGTGGGCTGGATTTGGCTTTGGCCCACGAGTACTAACTGGCCAACCCCTGCTCCAAGCTGATGTGAACAGTCAAAAATAACCACAATAGGAAATCTTTATTGAGCACCTACTGTTTGCCAGATGTTGTCATAAGCACTTTACATATTTTATCTCATTTCATCTTCACTTCTGTGCAGTAGATACCGTGCCAAGGCCCAAAGAGGTTAAGTAACTTGTCCAAATTCCCACAGCTGGTAAGCTGCAGAGCTGAAGTCTGAACCTGGGCAGCCTAATCGCAGAGTCCACCTTAATCATGATGCTAGGCTGTCTCTACGATATGTTGCATGACGGCGCTTTAAAATGGAACTTTTCAGTGACCTTGCACTGTGATATTAAGGAAATAAAACCCTGCCCTTGCTGGTATCACCCTTCACTGGAGCTCCATTTGGGCCCAGACTGATTGCCTTTTGTTTTCATGAATTATCCATACCCATGTTAAAGCCCCTACCTATCTATCTACTTGGTGAACCCCCGCTCATCTGTCAAGACTCAGCCCCTTTAAATCTTCTGTGAAGTAAGCCTCCCTGATGAACCCCTCAGGCATCAAGGAGTCAGATGCTTCCTTCTGTGCACTCCACAGCATCTTACACCTACTCCTAGTTCAGCATGCACCATGCTTCACTAAATTCAGTGTTAAATAACTGCCACACCTGCTATATTCTGGAAGAACCATCATAAACAGAACCATCTTGTTCATGCTCATTGCAATATAACAGGCACTCAAGAAACTGAGTTAAAATGATTTAACCAATCAAATTTATCTCCACAACCTGTGCTGTTGCTAAGTAGTTATAAAGAGCTACTGTTTTCATTTTAGAGGATAACTGAACAAATACAATTAAAAGATAACATCATTAGCTCAGACTCCTCTGCCTCTACACATTTCCAACATGACAGAGGACTTGAAACCTGACAACTTCTCACCTTTTAAAACTGCAAGAGCCTCCGTGGGCTCAGAGAGAACCCAGCCCCAGTGAGAACAAGAGACACGACGTAAGAAAACTATGCTGATACCAGGGCTGCTGCCAGCTCTTCTATGTGATTCATAACAAAGTGGCAAGCACCAGGGTCTAGGACAAAATCAAGCATAGGACATACATGGTGAGGTTAAAAATGGGATAAAAAAGAAGGAAATAAAGGTGACTCAATCAACATATACTTTTTGTTTGTTTGTTTTACTGTGTTTAATATACTAGGACATGGGAAAGAAACTAACAGTATAAGCCAGGATATTGTGTTTAAAACACAAAAACGAAAACTGTAGACCATAAATACAAAAGCTGGAGGGATGGAAAATTCAGCTTGATGCCCAGAAGAGAGGTATCCTAGCAGGGCCCTGAGGGCTGGCTAAAATGTCAACAGCAGAAAGCAGAGGTGAAAATAGTGACCAGAAACTCCCCCAAAGACATAAACGGGGACATAAAGCACCCTAGGGATTATAGGACTAGTGAACGACTGCAAGATAACACCAAGGTTTTGTGCCTCAGAACTGTCAGTGACGGTGGCATTAACAAAGCTGGACGACTGGAGGAAGGGAGATGATGTGTAATTTTAGACACAGTGAGTTTGCGGTGACAGCCTGACAGTCAAGTGGAAAAGTCTAGGAAGAACAGGGTTTGGGCATTAACCTCAAGCCCTGAAAAAAAGTTTACAACCAGAGAGATGTTTGGGAGGCAGCTGAAAAAGGATGACTAGATTCCATTATCCCAACCTCAAGTCACATAACTATTCAATACATATTTATTAAGCACTTACTATGAACAAGGCATGTGGGAGGGAGAGTATAGTGTTAGACAAGACAGATAAAAGCCCCAGCCTTCATGGGTCTTATACTTTAGCAAGGGAAGATAGGCTGTAAGTATAAATACACAATTTCAGGTTGTGATTTTTTAAAAACTACTAAGAAAAATAATGTAAAGTAAGAAGACTAGAAAATAATAACAAGGGCGGGAGACTAGAAAGCACATCTCACATTAGTCTACTCTTACATATTTTCCCTATTCCCAATTCCCCCCTCCACTCCCACTCAAATAGTGGACACGGGAAATATAAAAAGAAGAGAGATATGCAGCTATGCTTTAAAAGCAGGGTCCTCTAAAGGCCTATCTTAATGAAATTACTCTTGGTAGAAAGAAAATTGAAGAAAATTAATTGGGAAACTACACAAAGAAAAACGAAAAACACTGAAGAATATTTTGTGCTGCTTTATGAAATCTGAACTTCATCAGAACCACAGTTTGAGGAGGACAAATTTTATTACTGAATCCAATTCCCAAAGAGCTCATTTTTAATCTACTGTACAGTGTTGCCCTTTTTAAGTTGGTCTATTTAATTAAAAATCATCAAATAAAAACTGTGTCCAGAATGTTCATACTTATCTGTATCAATACAAAGGAAAGGGACACTGACTTTTAATTACTGAGCGATTAGAAAGGGCTACAGGGCTTCCCTGGTGGAGCAGTGGTTGGGAGTCCGCCTGCCGATGCAGAGGATGCGGGTTCGTGCCCCGGTCCGGGAGGATCCCACATGCCGCGGAGCGGCTGGGCCCGTGGACCATGGCCGTTGGGCCTGTGCGTCTGGAGCCTGTGCTCTGCAACGGGAGAGGCCGCAACAGTGAGAGGCCCGCGTACCACAAAAAAAAAAGAAGAAAAAAAAAGAAAGGGCTACATATTTCTTTTAATGTGAAACTTAAATTTTTTTTCATTATAGATATTTTAAAATGCACATAAGAGTAGAGAGAATAGCATAATAAATCCCCAGGTATCCATCACATACCTTCCATAATTATCAATATTTTACCCATCCTGTTTCATCTGTTCCATTACTTACTGGAGTATTTTAACATCAGACCATTTCACTCACAAATACTTCAGGAGAAAGAATGTCTTCACCTTTTACATGAGCACAAGGCCATTTTCACATCTTAGATTAACAACAGTTCCTAACATCGTCTAATACTCAGTCCATATTCATAGTTCCCTGATTGTCTCAGAAACGTCCTTTTATAGTTGGTTTATCTGAATAGGATCCAAACAAAATCCATATTTTATACTTAGCTGTTATGTCTCTTAAGTTATTTCTAATCTAGGAAAGTTCCCTTTCCCACCTTGGTTCAGGTCCCCCTACCCCACCAATGACATTTACTTGTTGAAGAAACAAAGTTATTGGTCCTATGGAATGTTCTAAATACATTCTGGATTTGGCTAATTGTTTCCTCATGGTGGTGTTCAACTTTTTCCTCTACCCTTCCTATTTTCTTTAAATTGGAAGTTAGATCTAGAGGTTTGATTGATTCAGTTCAATCTTTTTTTTAGCTTTCTATTGTATTAGGAGGTGTGTAATTTCTGGTTGATCCACTTCTGGTGATCCTAAGATTGTTCATAAGATGGGTCACTTTTAAATTAATGGTTTTAGCATCCACAGATAACCCTTGCCTAGGGTCATTATTTCATTAGGGGCTACTAAATGGTGATTTTCTAATTCTGTTATCCCTTCTACATTTACTAGGTAGAATTCTATTACAAGAAAATTTCTGCACCAACGATTTGATTACCCCACAGTGAAATTCATACAGGAAAAGCAGGATAAATGCCTTGATTCTTTACCTTTATTTATAAATTCATGATCAAAAACTTTAAATGGATCAAATATCTTTTAAAATTTTTCAGCAAACTGATAAGCCTCACTATTTGACAATGAAGACAAATTTTAACTATTTTTAAAAACTGTAATAACAACACTGAGAATTAGATGCTGAAATGAATATTAAACTGAGTCTGTCATCTTTAAAGTCACTTTTAACTCACTCTCAACAGCACAGTGCTATAAGCCATGAAGTCAGAAACAAAATTCTCAATTACTCTCTTTTTTCTCCTTCTTGCTGAACTTTTTAAAATTTTCTTATTCTTCCATTCTTATTATATATTCAGCAGCAGCCTAAGCTGAAGGCATTTTATGGGGCTCAAAAGACATAACGGCCTCTGCAGTTAAATAATACAGAGAAGAATCCGATTCCTGCTTTGATGCTAAGTTTAGAAGCCATGCAAAGGGAAACCTTCCATGTTTTTCTTTCTTTCATTTCACCAGGACCTTTATTCCTTAAGGCCTAAAATATATCTAGGTCTTGGAATTTTCCTTTTTGCTTCAGTAAGTACTTGTCTGACTATCTGAAAACTGACTGTTGGACTTCATTCAACACTATTTGTTGAATATTCAACAAATATTTATTAGCTCCTCAAAACTCTATTTGACCTTAAATCAATCCTTTTAAGTGTTTCTGCATATTTGGTATAAGAGACAAACTTTAAATAAATGCTGTATTTCTCTTTAATGAAAAATGCCAAATATTTGGTATAATACTACTGAGCTTTAGATTGATCACCAGAAATTCTTTAACAATCTCATGGAGGACAACCTTTCTGAGGGTCCTACAGTTCTCTGCTCGTCATCCGCCTTGGTGTGGTTCAACTTTTACTAACAATCGTGAGAAAGACAAGAAGTAATATTGTGGCACATAGTGATGGGGACTCCCCAACCACCAATCTCCCTTTCTCCTTGCTCACAGAACCCCAGTTTTGCCCTTCAGGAAAAGCTCTGTCCTTTCCTCATCCCAGGGGTGAATCTTACTTAGATGAAAGTACGAGTGGTGACTTGTTTCCCTCACAAGTGACAGAGTTACGACTGGGCATGTGATGAGATGATAACTGGAATTCTGTGGAGCGTTAGAAGAAAGAAACCCACCGAGGAGAGCAGAGCGGAAAGGCAGGAGAAACCCGGGTATCTGATGACATTGCCAAGCCTAAATTAAACAAACCTGGACCCATTCCCAGCTCCATATCCTTGGTTATGTGAAATAAAAAAACTCGGATCATTGAAAGCACTTTTAGTTTGGTTTTCTCTTATGGTAACAGCCAAGGCATCTAACTGATACAAAATGCTTATCTAAAATTGCATTTGAGGGCTTCCCTGGTGGCGCAGTGGTTGAGAGTCCGCCTGCCGATGCAGGGGACACGGGTTCGTGTCCCGGTCCGGGAAGATCCCACATGCCGCAGAGCGGCTGGGTCCGTGAGCCATGGCCGTTGAGCCTGCGTGTCCAGAGCCTGTGCTCCGCGACGGGAGAGGCCACAACAGTGAGAGGCCCACATACCGCAAAAAAAAAAAAAAAAAAAAAATTGCATTTGACAAGAAAATGAGGAAGGACAACCTAGAACAACAGTCTGAAAAAACAAACAATAAAATAAGTCTTCAGTTCAAAAAACCAGTTACATAATTATAGAATGATGTAAACCACTGGTTTAACAATAGTACAAAGATCTTTACAAGTGGACTGAAAGTAACCCAGCACTACAACGTGGCTAAGGAAAATGCACAGCCACGTTAGGTAATATCATCAGAAACAGAGGCTCAAGATCATGGTGGCGAAGTCATATAAAGCTCAGCACTAATAAACACATTTCTGGAATAAATCAGGTTTTACAACATTAAAAGCAACACTGTAAAACAAGAGATCACCCAAAGGAGTTTACCAGGAGGGTGAAAGATATAGAGACCGTGTAACCTGAGGACAGGTCGAAAGAACTACAAATGTACAGTCTGGAAGAGGGAAGACTTACACGGGGCATGACAGCGATTTTCAAGGATTCTCCTGGAAAAGAGGGACTGCACTTGGTCTCGCCATGTCAGAGAAAGGAATTTGAAGCAACGGTTCGTTGATATTGAAGGTAGATTTAGGCCTAAGAGAGCAATTATCTAACCAATAGAGCAATCAAAAAGTCAAATAAGTTATCACATGAGATAGTGAAATTCACTTTCACTGAGCTGAAGTAAAGACTGCGTGACCATCACACGGAACATTCTCGAACAGTATTTTCCAGAGTAGTAGCAGTACAAACACCATTGGTTGTACGAGAGATGATTTTAACTGGTACATACATTTTATTTTATTCGTTATATATTTATTTTACCATACATGAAATAAATGTACATACTAAGCTATCAATTCCATGGTTTCATGAATATGTGCTGTTTTCGAATAAGTGAAATAACTATGTAAAGTTCATTTAAAGAAAAACATTAAATCAGTATCTACCATTTAATAAAACTGGATATATTACTTTACGATTTGTTAGCTACAGCCCTAGAATTTATATAGATAAGCAATACAAGGCCCAAAGATTTAAGAAAAAGAAAGAAAACTTTTGAGAGGAAAAATATTTTTAAAAAAGAAAGAAAAACATTAAGTTAATCATAATCTAAGTGGTATAAGAAAATGCCAAAAATCATGAAGGTACCAAAATGTCTGAATTTTGGACATGCTGCTCTGTGGGGATTTTTGCACTGAACATGCTGAAACTAAAGTTCCTCCTTTACCAAAATTGTCTTGGTATTCAGTGGTTCTATGAAAACACGATCATTTATAACTACATTTATTCAAAGAGCCTCCTTTACAATGAAATGGAGGAACTAAAATTTTCTATTATTTTCAGTCAGATCTTAGATTCATTTTTAATAGCTAGAACTATAAAAATGATGTCTAGAATCCTCACATAACCAGTCTATTATTACAAGAGACTAACATTCTTGCACCTAATAAGCATTTACTGAGGTCTTTCCATGAGCCAGGCACAAATTTGAAAGTAAATTTGCAAGTTTTCATTTGAAGCATCTATTGCTACCTTGAGAAAATTCTTAAAACATTTAAGGTAAAACACCAAAAGAGAATGTCTTTACCATCATGTTCATGAAAAGTATATATGTATTTTAACATGACTGAAGGCCAAACTATTCTCTATGCTACCCATACACACACACAATATCTAGCACATGTAAGAGATTTAGTTTTTAAACTTCTTCGGTAAGCTCTGCCTTATAGTCAGTATTTCAAGCTCTTGCTTCCATATATTCTGAAAATCCTTAGGAATCATAGTGAAGTCCTAAAGGCAATCTTACGATGTCTCTGTGAAAAGTCCACCTACCTCTATCTTAAGGCAGCGTATGGAGGCATATCCTTCCTTACAGCGTAAAGAAAGCGATGCGCCTCTGGAGGAACCGGCGCCACGGTATACTTCCTGCCGGAGGCGTTTTTACTGACTAATGAGAAGCCTGACCTTTTCTTCTTTCCCAGCTCCTTAGGCTAAAAGGTACTTTATGTTTGAATAATCAAATAACAAGTGACATCTAATATGTACACATGTACAAGAAACACTAAAGCTTAAACTTCTTGTCCCCTGAAGACATCTCCCCATGTTTCCACCCCCAAATGGATTTCAACCAAAGAAAAACAATCAGCCCAGAAAGATTCCCTTCCTACCTCCTGAGTGTGTTCCTTGTAGACCTGCAGTGGCCCAGTGGCTCTGGCGGTGTCCCAGAGCTGTAACGAGCCATCACCACTACAGGTGACCAGGATATGCTCATTATTCTCACTCCAGGTCACGTCAAACAAACCATCGTTCCAGTCAAAGCTACACCAGGAAAATTAAAACAAAAAAATCTAGTTACATAGGCAGCTGAACATAAAATAACAATCATTGCTTTTTTTTTTTTTTTTTTTTTTTACAGTTTATCACCTATTTTAACACACATTATCTCACATGGTCTTCACAAATATGGGAGATTCGTAGAGCAGCCACTTGCCAGATTCAGAAACAACTTCAGAGAGCTTAAAAGAACAGCCCAGTCACACAGCCAGAAAACTGCACAGCTAGGTTAAAATCAGGGCTCCCAACTAGAAATACGGCACCATTTACATGAGGACATGCTGCCACACCTGGGTGCTCACTGCTTTCTGTGTTTCATAGGAGGGAAGAACAAGCACTTGAAAGTACTAATTTAGATCAATAATTTCAGTGTTTCCCATAAATCTTTCACCTGAGCTATCAGCAGGTAGTTATTTTCTGATGAAATTTCCTTTCCTTTCTCTACCCTTGACTAACTCTGATGGAGACGTTAATGAGTCTAACAGTCACACAGACAAGACAGGCATGGAAAGAAGAAAGGGAAAGAAGCGATAATCCACAAAATGGATAATTAGCTCCTGAATGAGTAAAGCTAAAGTACATTAAGAAGAAAGCAAAGATAGGAATGTCAAACAGTATACCAACTAGCTCACATTTGTTTATGTTTAAGTTTTACAATGTATAAGTGAATACTAAGAGACAAGAGCTTTAGAAGAAAAGTGACATAATCACAAGTTCATGGCAAAAATAAGCTCTATACTATGCAAATCCTGAAGGTTCTTTTATACGGCAAATTAAAACATCTTATTGATCACAAAGATTCAAAACTAATTCTATTAAGGTCTTAAAAGCAACAGAGAACACATATAAGTTTAATAGTTAGAGTCATCTTACCTTCTAAAAAGCCTAAGCCCAGATTCATTTTGATCCAGTATTAGCAGGGTTCCACAGCCTAAGGAGAAAAATGCTGAGGTCATGTTGTTGAACCCGCTGGGGGACCATGTCAAGGCAAAGAGGTATCAAGTACTGAGTACCTAATTTTACAGTCACAAATTTCAAGTTACTTGAGGCCATGTATACAAAATGATCAGGACCGTGCTCTCCATTTCTGTCTCTCTCTCTACATTGTGCTTAGTTAAATATTAAGCTTACCATCTCACCTATGCTTGGAATCCAGACACAGCTCTAACAGGGGAGAGATATTTAAGTGCATACTCTATGGCCAGGCAGGATGACAGGCACACAAACCTTCCAAACAGGTGTTATCATCCCTATTTACAGGTGAGAAACCTCAGGCTAACAGACCCCAGGGATTGTGTATCTTCTACATCACACTGCCTTCACAATAAATCTACAATACCTTCTGGGGCTTCCCTGGTGGCACACTGGTTAAGAATCTCCCTGCCAATGCAGGGGACATTGGTTCAATCCCTGGTCCAGGAAGATCCCACATGCCACGGAACAACTAAGCCCACACACCACAACTACTGAGCCTGTGCTCTAGAGCCGGCAAGCCACAACTACCCAGCCCGTGCACCTAGAGCCCACGCTCCACAAGAGAAGCCACCGCAATGAGAAGCCTGTGCACCGCAACAAAGAGTAGCCCCCTCTTGGTGCAACTAAAGAAAGCCCGCGCACAGCAACGAAGACCCAATGCAGCCAAAAATAAATAAATAAATAAATTTATTTTTTAAAAAATAAATAAAATAAATAAAGAGTACTGGTTCCATACTTTAAAAATAAAATAAAATAAATTCAGCATGGAATTTTAAAACAAAATGCCTACTGGAACTCACCACGTACTTGGTGGTAAAATGCTGAACACAACATATCATTATCTACCAAAGAGGAATTATTTTACTAAAGGATCAGCATATTTTAAAAGTTATATTTGTTATTGGGTTGAAGGAAAGAAAACTATTAAATATGGCTGACTTAAAAAAACGTATCAATTCCTCTTAAGGCGTTTTTTTTAAGGATCTAATTTAAAATATCATTACAAACTCACGAGTCTTCAACCTAAATGGTAGGCAAGTATCGTAAACCTGAATTTGCAACCACTAAAAGCTAATGGTGAAAATATTAAGGCAAATATTTCTCTCCCTCTCCGTTTTAGAAATCACTAAATCACTGTAGGATCCAACAAAAAATACTGTCGAGAGCTGACATTATGCAATGAATTTTTTCATAGACCTTCAGTGCGTATACAACAGCTACGAGATGAATTAAAAGAAAGCCCGTAAGTCAAGAATAGAACCCCGCCTTTCAACCTAGTCCAGGACCAGAGACCATTAACCTGAACCTCTTAACTGCCTGCAAATGTTTGTATTCCTCCAGAGACAAGAAAAAGCGAGAAAAGAACGTGAACAATTTCGTGTTGGCACTTGCGGGGAAACTCCTGGCGTCTGCTCAGGAGCATCCTTAAGACGCACAGCCGGAATGCTGCCTGTGGGGAATGTGGTCCAATTAGTGGGTACTGGGGTGACCCTGCAGACCGTCTTCCAAGAGCTGTTGGTCCCGTCGGACCGGTAGAAGGGGCCCCACAGGTTCAGCCCGCTCTCCGCAGGGCCACGTGTACCTGGAGGGGTGTGTGTCACTAGGAGCGATGGTGTCGGTGCGCTCTAAGTCATAAGAACTAGGGGCACTAGGCATCTTCCACACGCTACTTCCGCACTGTAACTGGAAAAGATGATGGACTCGACTCTTAACCAACTCCCCACCCTGGACAAAGGCGGTCAGGGAGCCAGGCGTTCCTCCTCTGCTTCCCCTGGTGTTCTTTTCTGGCGCCGTCTACTGTCGGAAGTGCTTTTGGACCACCAGAGGGAGCTGGAACTCAGCTGGAACCCGCCCCCACCCCGGCGGCTCAGCGCGGCCCGGCCTCACCCGCGATGCCGTAGTGCTGCGCGGTGGCGCAGGCCAGGCGGCCCGGCAAGTACGGGGAAAACTCGGCTGCATAGCCGTGGCGGCCGGTCACCCGCAGCGTCCGCACCGCTCCGCCACGCGCCGCGCTCATCCCGCCCGCCGCCTGCGTGCCTGGCCGCCCCAACCGCCGAAGCCCTTCCGAGTTGGAGGCGACCGGTCCGGACTCGCTAAGAGAATTAGAGATCCTAGAAGCTGAGACGGAAGTGAGGACACTGGGTGCCCTGAATGCTAGGTTTCGATTGGTCCGCAAAGGAAAGGGATTGACTCTGACGGAGGCCATTTTTGTCTTGGGCAAAACAGATGCTTGGCGCCCGCTGTGACGAAGTAGACGTGAGGGCAGTATTTCTGAGAGTTAGGTGGTGATTCTGACACCTTTTGTTTTTACGTATCAGCCTCCACTGCGGGCTATCTGGTTTTTATTAATTTATTGACCTTTTGAAAGACTGGCATCAGGAAATGTGGCTGATGATTACAAAATGAGACAAGTTACAGTAAAGTCTGAAACCGTGCTGCGAGTCCAGAAGGCAATTGAGCGCCGTGTTGCCCGAGGTAAATTAAAGCAAAGTTAAATCAGCGGTAGTCAAGCTAAGACAAAAAACATCGTAAGAAACTAACTTAAAATTTTTTTTTAATTCTTCCTATATTTATTGTATAGTAGTAAGTGCTCAGATGCCAGAGATGAAAACGAAGGCTCCTTCATCCATTCAAATATTTACCAGGCATATACCACGTAGAGGGTGGCCATATATTGCTTATCTGCTAAACAAGACCCTTCTGAGAATAAAAGAGAGTGCAGTTAATAATTAAGCCAGGTCAACAGGTACAAACCTAGTCATATGGCCACTTTATACACAAAGTACAGTGCTAAGCACTGGGGATTCAAATGCAATAAGATATAGTTTGTGTCATCAGTTAAGTGTAATCAAAAAACTGTAGATGCTATGAGAAATATATAGGGGCTATTTTTAAAAGGAATTGTCAGTGCTGGAAGATGGGGGATGGGAGAAAAACCTTCAGAAAACAAGTAATGTTTGTGTAAATGATGATAAGGTTTTCTTTAAATAGACAAGGAGGTGGAGGTCATTATAGGAGCAGGAATAACAGGAGACCTAAAACAGCATGACCCATAGGAGATTGTGGCTGCCAGGTATCAGCCTGCCCAGATGAAAGGGGTATGGTGAAGAGTATTGGACGGAGAGACTAGAATATTGTATTGGTTCATGAAGAGTCTTGTGTGCAATACCAAGGGAATTTGATTCTACTGTAACGTAAACAATGGGGAACCATCAAAGTTTTCTAATGTGAGAAATTAGATGACCAAGTTTTCATTTTAAAAGATCTTCTGGCAACACAAACTGGAAAACAGATTGGAAATGGGGAGGCCAGTTAAGACTTTAGCAATAGTTCAAGCAAAAGATAAGAATTTAAACAAAGATTATGGTAATGGGGGTGAAAAGAGTCATGCTCTACAGTATTGTGAGATTTACGCCTAGGAGGCCAGCCAGTTTCTCACAGTAAATATCGGGAAAAAACCACTTTGTGCTTCCTGCAGGGGGAAGAGAAAAGGAACCATTTTGAAATAAGCCAGCGCATTCGGTTCTTCTTAACAAGGCCTGGTCTCAGGGAAAACTAGTTAACCAGAGCCTAACCTAGTAGTATATTTTCAGAGCCTAACTAACCTGAAAGTTCCCTTGTGCCCGTTTTCAATCAAACCCACGCCTACCGCCTGATCCACCAGTGACCTGTTTTTTCCTGTTAAGGACTGCCTGAAATTCCAGTACTAGAAATGTACTTTGTTGTTGTTTTTATTTATTTATTTATTTATTTATTTATTTATTTATTTATTTAATTTTGGCTGTGTTGGGTCTTCGCTGCTGCGTGTGGGCTCTCTCCAGTTGCGGCGAGCGGGGGCCACTCCTCGCCGCGGTGCACGGGCCGCTCACCGCAGCGGCCCCTCCCGTTGCAGGGCACAGGCTCCAGGCGCACGGGCCTCAGCAGTTGCGTCACTCAGGCTCAGCAGCTGTGGCACGCGGGCTCCAGAGCGCAGGCTCAGCAGCTGTGGCGCATGGGGCTCAGTTGCTCCGCAGCATGCGGGATCTTCCCAGACCAGGTATTGAACCCGTGTCCCCTGCATTGGCAGGCGGACCCCCCAACCACTGTGCCACCAGGGAAGCCCTTCCCGTGAGTTTTTTTGATTGATTACTTGAAGACTCCTCTTTTAAAGGCAAGTAGGCTATAGGACAAAGAATACTGAGGTTCAATCTCAATTTGCCCTTTACTTTTCAGTAATATACTTTCCCTAGATTCTTGTTTCTTCCTATGTAAAAGGGAAAGGTTTCAACTGAATCAATCATTTCTAGCCAGGAGGTCTTTAAAACTATAACAGGATTAGATAAACTAATCTAAATATTTCAAAAGCCAAACAGGAATTGCACCTTTATAATTCTGCATCAAAGGCCAGCCTGAAATTCTACTTTTCTTTGTTTTTAGGCTGAGATTATGTGAATGCAGTGTGGTTACACTCATTCTCTAATGTTGATATTAACTTCTGACTGATTGCTTATGAAATCGTAATGTTTCTGGAGCTCATGAAGGAAAAAACTTTGAAAAGGTTTATAGATATTGAACAGGTTGATCTCTAAGGTTCTGTGCAGCCAAGAGGATTGAGGAATGTTGTTGCTGGCTGTCATGCACACCTTATTGGGATAATTGAAAACTATGAATGGTAGTTAGACAAAAACTATTGTATCCATTTGTGTCCCAAATTTGATGACTGTACTGTAGCTACATAAGAGAATGCCCTTATTCTTAGGAAATACAAGTGTGGTTTAAAATGTTAAAAATTTGGTAATCTGGGTAAAACATATATGGGCACTTCAAGTATTATTCTTATAAATTTTCTGTAAGTTTGAAATTATTACAATTAAAAGGTTTTCTTAAGTATATGATTAAAGATTTTACTAATTCAGACTTTTCTTTGTCCAATTAGTTTGAATTAGTAAGAAATGGCTCTAATTTGTTAAGTAACACCTGGAGGCCCTGTACTGATGCCCACGTAGTCCCTATGGGTGAATCACATACCAGAAATGTCTGTTGTGTGATTCCGCTAGGACTTCTGACTTCTATAGATTTGAGAGCATATGTCTGAGAAGAAAAACAGAAGTTTCCTCCTACTTAAGTCTCGAATGAAACACAGCTAATCAAGTGGAAATGTCAATGGGGAAATCCAGGTCAACTATAATTCCCATCATGACTAAGTGGCATAAAGACTCAGAATATGGTGTCCTCGAGCTGACCTCAAGGAGAAATCACAGTCAGATCAGGATCACTCATTTCCAGGATTCTTTGTAAGGTTGACTCGACAATTCATAAATCTTACCATTTACAATGAACACAAACCTAGGTCACTATATATATTTCATTCTCTCAGACAAATATGCACAATAGTACGAAGCTATTTCTCAGGACTGTGTATGTGTTTATATATTCTTAAGAAACATAAGTTCAGATAGAGAAACAACTTACCAAGTAGAAAAGGAACATACATGGTCATCTTAAAAGTGAGTATCAGACATTAAAAACCTAGTATGTTCATTACCTGCCTTGGATTTCTTAGCTCTGGAAAATAGCATATTCTTCAAAAGCTATCATTTTCATTGACTAAGAAGTAGAAACAGCACTGATTTCCTTCAAACCTGTGCAAAAAGGCAGGCATGCTTTCATGTGAAAGAGAAATCTTAGAAGTTGTCTGGCATTCTTCTCATAGTCCCCAGACTGCGTGATGATTTGCGGTACAGCATTATTCACAGTAAAAAAAAAAAAGTGGCTGCATTGTGTGTCAATCCATTGCAAATAATGATGAATACAAATTTTAGCTCAGATGTGGTTGACGGTATGATTCTGAGCAAATAATTTATCTCTTCGAGCCTCAGTTTTTCATAAAATAGAGCTTCTGAGAAGGGCAAGCAGAGCAGTGAAGGATCTGGAAGCCATATGACTTAGAGAATTGTTAAGAGTACTGGGATACCACTACACACCTATAAGAATGACCAAAATCCAGAACACTGACAACATCAAATGTTGGTGAGGATGTGGAGCAGCAGGAACTCTCATCCATTGTTGGTGGAGTGCAAAATGGTACAGATACTTTGGAAGACAGTTTGGTGGTTTCTTACAAAACTAAACATACTCTTATGATACAACCCAGCAGTTGTGCCCCTTGGTATTTACCCACAGGAGCTGAAAACTTATGTCCACAGAAAAACCTGCACATGGTTGTTTATAGCAGCTTTATTTATAATTGCCAAAACTTGGAAGCAACCAAGATGTCTTTCAATAGGTGAATGGATAAATAAGCTGTGGTGTATCCAGACAATGGAATATTATTCAGCACTAAAAATAAATGAGCTGTCAAGTCATGAAAAGATATGGAGGGACTATACATACATAATACTTAGTGAAAGAAGCCAATCCTACTGTATGATTCCAACTATGGCATTCTGGAGAAAGCAAAATTATGGAGACAGTAAAAAGATCAGTGGATGCCAGGGGCTGGAGATTGAGGGGGTTGGAAAAGATGAATAGGCAGAGTACAGAGGATTTTTAGGGCAGTGAAAATATTCTGTATGATTCCATAATGATGGATACATGTCATTATACATTTGTCCAAACCCACAGAATGTACGACACCAAGACTGAACCCTGATGTAAACTATGGACTTTGAGTGATTATGATGTGTCAATGTAGGTTCATCAGTTTTAACAAATGTACCACTCTGGTGGGACATGTTCATAGTAGGAGAGGCAACACTTGTGCGGGGTCAGGGAATGTATAGGAAATCTCTGTACCTTCCCCTCAGTTTTGCTGTGAACCTAAAACAGCTCTAAAAAATAGTCTTAATTTTACAGAAAGTCTGGTGCATTAAAAACAAACTTTAATGTTCTTAAGTAAATTGAAAAGTTTTATAATTTAATTTTATTCTCCACCACTCTTCAGAGAGAAAACTTTCAAAAAGCTAAAAAAGAAAATAAAATCTCCCCTCCCCCACCTCACTAACAAGGATTGCCTACAGATTTCTTCTGAAAGATTCTTTTGTTCCCTACACCCACTAACTTTTCTGGGTGTTCTTTAATGCTACCCCCTACGCAGGAAAAGTCTTTGCTTTGTTATCCCACAAGCTCTCTGTCCTCTTTCATATTCTCCCTCGAGCTTGAATACTTCCAGAAGTTC